ATGAATAGCTTGGGATGAGCTACACGAGCAATGGGATGTGAGTGTGCATGCAGTGGGGCAGGGTGCGGGTGAGAATGGAGCACAAGGGCGCAGCTATGGGGGGATGGCATCCTGGGATGTGGGGTGCACATGTGATGGGACACGGTGAGTGTGGCACGAGGGATGGGGCCAGCATGCAGTGAGGTTTGGGGAAGAGGTGTCCCCGGCTGGGTGTGGGGCGCCATGGGGCACAGGGTGCACGTACACTGCGAGATGAGTGATGGGCACAGAGATGCGTGTGCAGCGGGGTGTTTGCATAATAGGGTACAGGGATGCCTGTGTAGAGCGTACTGGATGTCTGTGGGATGGGATGCGTGGATGTGCGTGCAGTGGGGCACAGGGATGAGCATGCCGTGGAGCACGGCGTACCCATGCAATGGGGCACGGAGGCAGATGAGCAGTGGGTGCAGAGTTGTGCGTGCGAGGAGGACGCAGGCAGTGCACAGGCAGTGGAACACCCAGGGAGAGAGGCATGTGCGTGGGCAGTGAGTGGGCCCGGGGGGTTGCAGATGCAGGGCAGAAGGCTGTGTGCGTGCAGGGGGCAGGGGAGATGAACAGCCTGCAAGAGACGGGGGTGTGTGTCCAGCGGGGCGTCAGGATGTGCGGAGGATGCATCGATGACAATATGTGAGACCAGGAGCAGTCTATGGGGCAGGGAGCTGCCTTAGTGACCGGGATGTGGAAAGACACTTGGGGGCTTCGAAGGGGCATCCCCTGGGGAGGGGGAAGCTGGCCGGGGGCGGCCGGTGCCGGGGTGCAGCGCTGGGGCGGCAGACGGAGCTGTGCGCGGTGCTGACCGCCGGCCGCGGAGCTGTCCGCGGTGCTGACCGCCGACCGGGACCTGAGGCTGTAGCACCGGGGTTGGGGTCCTGCGGCTCCGGCCGCAGGCCTGCAGCAGAGGGGATTTGGCTTTTCTCCTTCCATCCATTCCGCTTCCATGGACAGCAGTTCTGCTCCATCCTCCAGCGCCTTTCCCGTGCTTTGGCTGCACTGCCATGGCACCTCAGACTGACCCTCTGTGTACAAGGGTTCCCTCACCCTGCCCTGGGCAAGTGAGTGTGCGGGGCTGCACTGGGACTGGGTAACTCCGGGTCCTTCCCTCAGTTACCCTTCTGGAGGTGTGTTCAACACCCTCCATGGGGTCCCGTGCCAGGTCACTGTCCCCACGTGGGGTGTGGAGTGACCGGGTGGTTCCCGCTGGAGAAATTGGGAGCGGATGCTCTCGTGTTGAGGAGACAGGTGTTTCATGCCTGGCTTGTGCCGGCTGGGAGTGAAGGGGAGGGGGAGCTGCCTTTGTTCCAAACAAGGGAGCAGATGCATGTCAGTGTACAGCCTGCTGGGGCTGCACACATGCAGCACAAACACACGTGCACACAGGCACATGCGCACACTCCCGCCCAAGAACATGCGGTGAAAAGCAGACCCTCTTCTCAGCTATCCCGCTTCACAC